TTTTTGGTCTTTTTGAGACAGGATCTCCCTGTAGCCCCAGCTGACCTGGAACTCGCCATGTAGACCAGGCTGGCCTCGAACTTACAGAGATCTTCCTGCCTCTGCCTCCTGAGTGCTGGGACTAAAGGTGTGTGCCACCACACTGGCAATTAAAAAAAATTTTAAGTATTTTTTTAATGAATTTTTGTACATTTCATATAAAACATCTTACTCATCTTTATACCCCCCTCTCCCATCCAGACCACTGCCATAACTGGCCCCAACTGGATTTCATGCATTCTGTTATATTAAGGCCTATAGAGTCAAGTTAGTGTACCCAGACTTTCCTCAGTGCATGTTCATCCACTGGGGTCTAGTCAGGTATCTAGAATCTCTCCCTTAAAGAAGATCAACTCTCCCTCACCTATCAGCAATCAGCTGCCAATAATTCTTTGGCTAAGATTGAGGCCTGCTGCCCATTTCCCCAGTTCTATGCTGGGTTTTTGTCTGCTTGAATTTTCATGGGTCTTATGTCGACACCATTGCTTATAGGTTTGTATGAGCAAGGTCTCAGGAGGCTTACAGACTCTGGTTCCATATGGTCATGCACCTCCTCCCTGGCTCTTACCATCTTTCTGCCCCCATCTTGTGCAATGGTCCCTGAGCCCTGGGTGGGTGAAGTTTAATATAGAAGTCCTGTCCAGGGACCCACACTCTGCAGACTCTTAATCTCTGTGCTTTGGCCATTTGTGGCCTTTTGTGTTCTTTGGCCTCTGTTGCAGAGGGAGCTTTCAGCTTCGTTGATGAGAGCTAGGATAGGCTTTTCAAAACACAGGATAGATAGAGTTCAGGAATATAGCTCAGTGGTAGAATGCTCACCCAGCATGGGTTTGGCCCTTAGCATCCCACAAAACAAAATCCCTAAGATAGGGAATAGCAACTTATGTGCTTTATTTGGGGGATTTTTTTTTTTTTTTTGTCTCCCTGTAGCCCGTAGTGGCCTGGAACTCACTATGTAGACCAAGCTGGCTTTGAACACAGAGAGATCTGCCTGCCTCTTCCTCCCAGGTGTGCCACCATGGCCAGCTTATTTTGGGCCCTTTTGTTGACTTGTTTTTAAAATTATTTAATCAAATTCAAGTATTTTCTAAATGTACATTTAAACTCTTTTGGAAGCCATATTAACATAATGCGGGTACCCACAAAGGGTCTCTGTGGCCAGAGAGAAACCCCAAATGACTGTTAATGAGTGCTTTAGGTAAGAGAGAAAGAGCCCACACAAAGGCCACTTTAGTTCTACTTGATGATGAGGGATACTTTGCTGAGTCTCTGTGCCTTATGAAACAACCTCAGGGTGCAAAGTACAGGTACCTTTTCTCTGCCTGTTCCCTTGGCCTGTGACTCACCCTCAGTTGAGCTCTTGTTTCTATTTACTTTTTAGAATACAGGAAATACACGCACTGGAAGGAGGAAAAACCTGTTAGATGTAGAATAGCAGCTGTAATTTCAGGGAATCCCAGAATCATTGTGTGGTTAAAAAGTCCTTTTTATTAAGGTTACATATACAAAAGTGCTGGCTAGAGAACTCTGCTGATGTATCAAAATTCCTGTGATATTGTGTGTATATTCACTTATATTTTATATTTGTTTTTATATAGTATTTATTCATATTTCCTGAATTTGAACTTGAATTTATAAACTGCCTAATTGTGACATCCTAACAGAACTACATCCTACAAGTGATAGAATTTTATTTCATCCTCTGTTGCTTGAGGCATGTTTGCGTAGTGTGCATTCTTAGGTTTGGTGCAGAGCTTCATAGTTACAGAAGGAAAAGTTTCTAAGAAGGTAATATAGAGAGATTCCAGTGTCTGGGAGCACCAACTATTTCTGAGCTAAGAAGATAAGCAGGAAGACTGCTGGATTCCATACTGAACATCCTGGTGCAGCATCGAACCTGTCCTGTGGGTTGTTTAAAGGGTGGGAATTGAACCAAAAACTGAAGCAAATCCTTTGGCTTGACCAGCATATTTACGATTCAGTAGATCACATTAGTGTTACTAAGTCAAGGTTTTGACAGCAGAGATTTACAGTCTCATCCCTGGTTCTTAACGCTTGGTTTCTAATTTTAGGGTGGAGATGGCGATTGTGCGGGGAAGAATTTGAAGAGGAACAGATTTTTCTTTTCCTGATAGTGTTTTTTCTTTTATGTAGTCTTACAAATACAAACCTACAACTCTTCCCCTTTTATTTCTGTACAGTAGAAATGTAGCATAAGTCATTGTCAAGATAGCTGTCCGTTCAGTCTGCATCAGCGTCAAACAGCTTTTGGTTTTGTTCTCCTCTTCTAAAAACTGTGTCGTTGTGACGCTCTGATTCGGAGTTATAAACTTATCCCTCTGCTTGCTTCCTTGTTTGCTATGACTACCGAGTGGGTGACACTGTCACGTGGTGTGCATTGCCGGCACCGATCTCAGCCCTACCCTAGAAAATGCAGGTCTCCTCAAGTGTATTCCTTCTGTTTGTTTTGTTCTGTTTTTGAGACAGGGTCCCCCTGTAGCCCTGGCTGGCCTGGAACTCGCTACATAGACGAGGCTGGCCTCAATACCACAGAGATTCACCTACCTCTCTTACTGAGTACTGGGATTAAAGGCATATGCCACACCACCACATTCCTCCTCTCAAGGGAATTCTTTTTTTTAAAAATTATTTTTATTTATTTTCATTTTATGTGTATGAGTATATTGCCTGCATGTATGTGAGTGCACTCATGTCGTCAAATGCCTTGGAAGTCAGAAGAGGGCTTCAGATTCCTCTGGAACTGGAGTTAAGGACAGTTCGTAGCCGCCATGTGGGTGCTGGGAATTGAACCCCGGGTCCTCTGCAAGAGCAGTCAGTGCTCTTAACCGCTGAGCCACCTCTCCAGCCTCCCAAGTGAATTCTTAATGAACTATCTCATCTATTGTTGTAATAACTATTCATTCTATCACATGAAAAATATGTTCCATTGGTCAGCAGTAAAGCATTTATACCACTTACAAAACATCTAAAAATGGTGTTCAAATGGTAAATTTCTTTATTTAAGCCATTGCCTGCATCTTCTAGTTTTCTAGGTCTGGTAGTGGCCTTTTTTTATTTCCTAAGAAAGTATGTACAGCCTAGAAAAGGTAACCATCTATCTTGGGTAGTTTTCTGTTGTTAATATAGATTGGGTGACTCATTAAAATAAAAAATAGAGGTCTGGGCGGGGTGGCACATGCCTTTGATCTCAGCATTGGGAGGCAGTGAGATGGAGGCCAGCCTGGTCTATGTAATTCCAGGCCCACTAGGGCTGTAGGAGAGCCCTATCTCAAAAACACAAAACAAAAAAGAAACAAAATAATTTAAAAAGAAATAGTTTCTCTTAGCCCACAGTTCTGGAGATTAGGAAGCTTAGAACCTTCATCTGCTCAGTGCTGGAGAGCCATCTTGCTGCAGCATCACTTGGGGAGCATCACATGGGCAGACTGAGCAAGCTCCCTTTTCTTATAAAGCCACTAATGTCACGATGGAGCTGCCCCACTTATAACCTCATCCAATCATAATTATCATCTGAAGTCTCCAGCCCCCTAATACCATTAACATACTAGTTTGGAGATTAAGTTTCCAATGTGTCTTTTTTTTTTTTTGTAGTACTGGGAAATGAATTTAGGACCTCACATGTGCTAGGCAAGCTCTCTACCACTGGACTATAATGTGAACTTCTTCTGTTTTTCTTTTGAGACAGGGTCTTGTTAGATAGCCCTGGCTGGTCTAGTACTCTATATGTAGCCCATGCTAGCCTCAAATTTGTGGCATTCCTCCTGCCTCAGTCTCCCGAGTCCTGGAAATTGAGCTGTGTGCCACCATACACGTGTGAACTTTTGAAGGGCTTATTTAAACCAGAGGACTACCAAAATTCTAGATTTTTCTACTCTCCAAAAATTAATAAAATTGTCTTGCTTGGTTTATTACCAGCCTTCTGTCTAATTCCATTTACTAAATAAACATGTAAAGGAAAGGAAAATATAACTTCATTACTACAACATGTAATATGTTTTCATCTTAGGAAAGTTTTAAGGGCTGGGGCTGTAGCTCAGTTGGAAGAGTACTTACCTACTATGTACAAAGCCTTAAGTTCAGTCCCCAGCACAGCGTAAACCAGCAATGGTGGCATACATGAGACCTTCTCTCAAACACAAAAACAATAAAACCAAACCACAAACAGGAAGAAAGAAAAGTTTTGATTAGAATTAATGGCTGGAGTTATTATACATAATACACCTTTCTAACGGATTCCCTGTTTTAGTGGAAATTAAGAGCTGCTTCTTGTGGGGTCAACAGTATGTCAGTCCATTGTCTGTTGCACTTACATATTTATCACAACTATCAATAGCAAAGATTGTCATTTTTTTAATCACAAAATTTCTACAAAAATGCCTCCTAGGATTTTGAGTAGATTGGGTTAAATCTCTGTATCAGTTTGAAGAGAATAGCTATCTTAATAATATTGAGTTATCCGGTCCACAAGCACGATATAAGTTGTTTAGATTTTTTTTTTTTTTCGGCCTTTTTGAGACAGGGTCTCCCTGTAGCCCCAGCTGTCCTGGAACTCACTATGTAGACCAGGCTGGCCTTGAACTCACAGAGATCCACCTGCTTTTACCTCTCGAGTGCTGGGATTAAAGGCGTGTGCTACCACGCCCAGCAAGTTGTTTAGATTTTTAAATTTATTTTAGCCGTATTTTATAATTTTGGTGTAGCAATCTTATACAACATAGATTAAATTAATTCTTGTATATCTTATTTTTGATGCTTCTATAAATGGCATTGTGTCTTAATTGTGTGTTAATATACAGAGATATAGTTTGTTTTTCTATACTGATCTTGTATCCTTACTAAATGTGTTTGCTGGCAGTCTTCTTTCCCTCCATCCTCTCTCCACCACCATGCCCGGCTAATATTTTTTTTAAAAGAAATCTTCCCCATGTGACTGCAGGATGTCCTTACATCTGATCTAGTTATGCAAGAAAGCCTCTTAAGGAGTTTTTACTTCAATATAGACCTCCTGTCACCTACTTCTAACTTCCCCACCCCTAGTCCCATTTCCTATTTTATTTTTCATTTACCATTTTTTTGTCTGATAAGCTGCATATCTTATTTATCTTGCTTACTAAGCTGTAACTCGGTGAGGGATTCACTGTTTTGTTCATAACCATTTCTAACTCCAGTTCCAAGGGGTCTGACACCCTGTTCTGACCTCCTTGGGTATTGTAAAACATGGGTTTACTTAAATACATAAGGCAGGCAATACACACATACACACAAAATTTAAAAAAAAAAAGAAAAAGAAAAAGACTGAAATATAGAATAATTTTATGATGGGGTAGAATATGTCCTCTGTAGCAAGTTAGTATGCTTTTTGTTGTTTGTGTGGTTTTGTTTCTTTGAGATAGAGTCACTGTGTAGCACAGGCTGGCCTTGAACACCTGAGCTTGAGCAGTCTTCCTGACTCACCCTCCTGTGTAGCTTGTGCTTCAGGCACATGCTACTGTGCTTTAATGCAGTGCGGTGGTATTAATTTTGTTTTCCACATCTCAGTGAATAGATTGTACCAGGTGCCTCCTTAGTAGCTGTTAGACTGTCCGTGCCCCACTCAGCTGAGACAGTAGCGTACTTCTGAAGTTCTCCTTGAGGACTCTCCTTCAGATAGACCAGTGTCCTGCAGAGGGAGCTCAAGGTCCAGTATTGCCGGGACACCAGAGCCAATCTCTTGCCCTGGTCTGAGAGAGGACAGGGCATTTAGTTCCCTATTGAACTGAGCGAGGTCATGAAGATGGGTTACTAATATAACTAGAAAACTAGTCGGATTTACTCAAAATCCTCTAAGGGAAAGCTGTTATAAAAATGCAAGCTCAGCCGGGCATGGTAGCGCACACCTTTAATCCCAGCACTCAAGAAGGTAGAGGCAGGTGAATCTCTGTAAAATTCAGGCCAGCCTGGTCTACACAGCAAGTCCAGAGACCCTGACTTAAAAAAAAAAAAACCAAACAACTCAAGTCCCTCAGATGAGTGATCAGGCAGATGCATAGATGTTTCAAACCAAGCCTGGAATGACTTAGACATGGTTCAGGCTACATTTATTTGCACTTGGGTGTCTCCCTTGAGTCATATCTTTGTGGTTACTAATTATTACATTGAACAATGTTATTATGATGTTAAAAGCATCTGATGCCTCATGAAAAACAAGATTTCTTATGGGATAATTTTGCCATCAGTAGTCTTTGGGCTGTTGTTCCGCTTCATTTCCTTTCCATTTTCTCTCCTCTCCAAAGAGGCCATGTAGCTTGCAGGATGAGGATATTCCCTGAAACTGTTTCCTGAAATCCTGGGGATCCTTCCATTCCGCTCCCCACCCCCTTTTTTCTTCTTCTTCAGCTGAGACAGTAGAAGAGATGATTTGCTGTACACGGTTAT